GCCTTCGCCCGCTGGCCGCGCAGGAGGCCCAGACTCCCCACTGAGCAGTCGCTGGCCCCGCAGCCTCCTGCACGGGGCAGAGATGCCAGCCGGGCAGCCGGGCAGCCAGGCAGCCAGGGACAGGGCTCCAGGCTCCTGCCAGCCCGGCGCCCAGGCACTGCTCAAGCCTGACACCCCTCTCCAGCCAGAACCGCCCTCCCTTCCCGGCCCGGTCATCTGAGAGCCTGAGCCAGACTTGCCAAGGTGGCAGTTTGACAGTGAGAAGCAGAAAAAACCGACGAGAAACCACCCCTGACATCTTGATTCCAACCTGTCTTCAGCCATCTTGCTGTGTATACATATGACCTAGGTTTTTAAATCTGTCCCTTCAGACTTGATGGGAAATTCCATTTCCACGGAGTCCCGGAGGGGCAGCGCGGTCCCGCTGCAGGAAGCAGTCCAGGGAGCCAAGGCCATCGAGTCACACTTTGGTCTGATGCCAGGGAAGACCACAAGTCCCACATGCCAGGGAGTCTGTGGCATTTCACTTTCATCTAACAAATTTATTTCAGCCCCCATCTTCATTCTCTCCGGAAAGAGCAGTTGCTCTGGCCTCGGGCTGCCTGGTGGCTTTCTTTTTATTTATTTATTTATTTTATTTTTATCCTTACCCGAGGGCATTTTTTTGCATTTATCTTCAGACAGAGCAGGAGGGGGAGAAGGAGGAAGATGCAGAGAGAAACGTGGATGTGAGAGAGACACATCGAGTGGCTGCCACCGAGGTACACGCCCTTAGCAGGAACCGAACCTGGGTCTCTCTAGTCCACGGGCCGACACTCTAACCACTGAGCCAAACCAGCCAGGGCTGCCGGGTGGCTTTAAGGCTGTTCTCTTCCCTCTGCAACCTGTCGCCCCTGGGCTGACACTGGAGGTGTGTTGCTAGAGAGGAGCGGTCGGTTCTTGAGAACGCAGTCGCTGGGCCCTCCCCTGACCAGGCCTGGCAAACCCAGGGCTCAGGCCAGCAGGTGGAATTACGCACCGAGAGCGCTCTCTCGTGAAATGCTCCAAGAGAATGTGTCACTGCCACTCAGTCTACTTTTAGACACCTCTCCACATCGCACCAGGGGCACTCAGTGATCTGCTCACAGACAGGACGTGACCAGAGCTCCCGAGTGCCCGGATCTGCTGGCAGAGACACTCTGCGGATGGACTGCTGGGCTCAAACCCAGAAGCAGGCCCTCACCGGCTTTGGACCTTCGTCTAATGCATTGTGTTCAGCCCTGGCCGGTTTGGCTCAGCGGTAGGAGCGTCGGCCTGCGGTCCAATGTGGGTTCAATTCTGGCCAAGGGCATGTACCTCGGTTGCAGTTCAGCCCTGGCGCTGGTCAGGCGAGGCAGCCGGCGGATGTCTCTCTCACATCGATGTTTCCCTCTCTCTCTCTCCCTCCCCCTCCCACTCTATCTGATGATAAACAGAAAAATATCCTCAGGTGAGGATTAAATTAAAAAATAAACAGATAAAGTCTCTGTGCTCTGTCCCTCATCGCCTTCCTTGGCAGGACAACATGTCCGAAGAGCTCAGAGCAGCCAGGCCTGGCAAACAGTAAGTGTGTCATAAACATTAGCTGTTACTATTATTATTAAATAACCCAGGGGAAGGAAAAGGGAAAGTGTGCTGCATTCATTCTCTATACTCTACGTCTATCCACTTAGAGGAGTTATCTGATTTGCTTTCTTTCTTTTTTTAAATTTTATTTAATTAAATTTTGTTTTTATCCTCACCCGAGGACATTTTTTGCATTTATCTTCAGATAGAGCGGGAGGGAGAGAGGGGGGAAGAGAGAGGGAAACACTGATGTTTCTTGGTGCATGAGTCAACACTCTACCACTGAGCCACACCAGCCGGGCTTATTTAATTTTATTTTTCTTTCTTCTTCTTTTTTTTTTTATACTCACCCAAGGATACTTTTCCATTTTTTGTTCAGATAGAGCTGGAGGGAGAGAGAGAGAAACATCGACATAAAAAGGACACATCGAGTGGTTGCCACCTGCACAACCAGGGCTGGGGACAAACTGCAACCGAGGTACGTGCCCTTAGTGGGAACCAAACCCGGGTCTCTCTGGACCACAGGCCAACGCTCTAACCGCTGAGCCAAACCGGCCAGGGCTAATTTTTCAATTATAGTTGACATTCAGTGTTATTTTATATTAGTTTCAGGTGTACAGCACAGTGGTTAGACAATCATATACTTTACAAAGTTCCCCCCCGATATTTCCAGTACCCACCTGCACCGTACACAGTTGTTTCATTACTGACTATTCCCTAAGCTGTACATTATGTCCCCCTGACTCCTTGGTAACTGCCAATTCCTGATTTGCTCTCTTAACGTGAAGTTCTGATGTCTTCTGAAAACACGCTTGCTCTGTACACTGCGAAGCGTGTCTCATGACTACCACGTGAAAACACGCTTGCTCTGTACACTGCGAAGCGTGTCTCATGACTACCACGTGAAAACACGCTTGCTCTGTACACCGCGAAGCGTGTCTCATGACTACCACGTGAAAACACGCTTGCTCTGTACACTGCGAAGCGTGTCTCATGACTACCACGTGAAAACACGCTTGCTCTGTACACTGCGAAGCGTGTCTCATGACTACCACGTGAAAACAGCAGCAGAAAGGCCAGTGTCGAGGCTCCACGGGGAAGGAGACTCAGACGAAGGTCAAGGCTGTCCGCCAGCACGCCCGAAGGAGCTCAGCCACCCGCAGGCTCACAGAGAGGCATCAACGCGGCACTGACACCCTGGGCAAGTTCGTCCGCAGCGCGAGCCTCACACCGAACCGAACTAAGCACGGGCTTGTTTTAAAATCATCTTTATGGCCTGGAAAGGTAAAAAACCAACCAACCAACCAACCAACAAAAAGTATTCTGATTCCAGAGACAAGAAGAAAGGAAGGAAGAAACTGACAGGAAGGCCGAGGCCAGGTGCGAGGAAGGGCCACTTCCAGGCGTGAGCTGACGTCGTGCGTGAGAGAAACCCCACCTGGTCGATCAGAGAAGACAGACCTTTCCCCTCTCACTGCCAAGGTGACCGTCGCAAAGCCAGAGTGGACATCTGTTAAGTCTTAGCTGACATCCCTTAATTTGAAGCCGGAAGGACTTGGTATTTCGAAAAGCACTGCTGGACAGAGGGGCCACTCCAGATACAGAGGAAGAGAACAATAAAACCACCAACAACAAAAAATGTTTTTTAGTTACAGCTCAAGATGGAAGACCATCACCAGATTAATCTTCCTGGAAAAAAAAAAATAACTGCTCCAGGTCTGTACCTGCCCCTGAATCATCAATACTCCCCATGCCTACAGGAGAGAGTCAGAAACCTCGGGGGTCACAGCCCCACCTACCTTTCTAACCCTGTTTCGAAGTCAGGAGGTGTCCACTCCCGCCAGACTGGCTTCCTTATTTGTTCCAGGGAGGAACAGACCATGCTCATTTCAGCTTTGTATCCCCAGCGCCTATCACAGTACCTGGCACACAGTAGTCGCTCAGTAAATGTTTGCTGATTCAGCAGAAACGCAAATGCTTTTAGGCCTGTACACTGCACCTGGCGCCTGGAAAACCCCTTCCCCAGCCCCTGCTGACAGCCCAGCCGTTCTCGAAGGCTCGCTGACCGTCCACCACCTCTTCTAGACACAGAACCGGGGCAAGCGGCCCTCACCTTCTCCTCTCCCCCTCCCATTCCTATAGAACCCTTCCCTTTGGACCTTGATTGCCCTTCCGACATTTCCTGCTCGCATGTTTTTTTCTGCCTGGCTCCGCTGGGGGTTTCTAGAGGGAAGCAGAAGCAATGAGAAACAGTGGAGAGAAAAGTCACTGTTCTGTGGCCCGGCAGACCCAGCTATCTGACTTTTTTTGGAAATTTTTATCTGAACATTTAGAACAGTGCCTGGCATGTACCATGCCCACCGTAAATGCCAGCTGTCACCACTCTTCATCTCTCGGAACCTCAGTTTTCTGGCTTACAAAATGGGATTCATAATAACGCCTCTGGCTCTGGCTGGTCTGGCTCAGCGGTTAGAGCGTCTGCCTGCAGACCAGAGAGACCCGGGTTCGGTTCCCGCTAAGGGCACGTACCTTGGTTGCAGTTTGTCTCCGCCCCGGTTGGGGTCATGTGGGTGGCGACCACTCGATGTATCTCTCTCACATCGATGTTTTTGTCTCTCCCCCTCCCCCCCCGAGGATAATTTTTGCTCTATCTGAAGATAAATGCAAAAATATCCTCGGGTGAGGATAAAAAAAAAATAACAATAAATAACTCCTCAGACAGGTGGGTCTCTATGAAGATTAGAAATAATGTCTGAAGGCCCCAGGACCTTTCTTAGCCACCCAGTAGCCCCATGGCATCTATTATTCCATTTATTCCATATTTATTTCTCTGGCATCTATTATTCCATATTTATTTCTCTGCTGAGTGCAGAGAAAATGCCCCACACAAGCTTATGGAATGAGCTGAAGAAACTGAGAGAGACCGAGCCTAACGTCAACTCAGACATCAAGGGCAAATCTTCCGTCATTCATTCAAGAAGCCTTTATTGCGGGCTAGCGTTACTGCCAGGCTTCCTTCGGAGCTGGGATGCAACGGTACCCATAGTCCTTGCCCTGTGAAACTCACATCCTGAAGGGGAAGGCAGATACTAAACAGGGCGAGACAGATAAGTACGTTTTTGTGACATTAAGTGCTCTGGAGACAACAAGCAGGGCAAGCTCGGGGCTGGCAGGGCTGTCTGCAAAGCTGGCATTTAGGCGGAGGCCTGAAGCCTTGGGAGACAGCCTCACCCTCAGGCAGACTGGTGGCCTTTCCACGTCTCAGCTTCGAGTGCCAGAGACCCAGCTCCGCCCGAGAAGTGGCCGCCTGCTCCCAGGCCCCCTCGCGGCTCAGGCCCAGCTACCCCCGCCGCGGGACCAGCGCTGGTGGAAGCGGCCACTCAGCCCCAGTGGAAGCAAACGGATTACAGCCGTACCGCTGCCGGTCTGTTGCCCAGGAAGTTCAGGTCGCTGTTCTCTCCAAACAGGTAACCTTCCGGGTGAGCCGAGTCGAACTTCTCTCCTCCCATGATGAAGTGGTTGGCAAAATAGCTTCCTGGAGGGGGGAGACAGAAAGAGCAAATGCAACCAGTCAAACTAAACCAAGTGAAAGTGCGCATTCGGAGAAGTCCTGTCATCCGCCCTGGCCGCGCCCTGGCCGGTCTGGCTCAGCGGTTAGAGCGTCGGCCCGTGGACGAATGAGTCGCGGGTTCGATTCCGGCCAAGGGCATGTACCTCAGTTGCAGTTCGTCCCCGGCCCTGGTCAGGTCGTGCGGAAGGCAGCTGGTGGATGTGTCTCTATTGCATCCGAGTTTCTCTCTGTCTCTCTCTCTCCCTCCCTCCCACTCTATCTGATGATAAATGGAAAAATATCCTTGCGTGAGGAATAGAAAAAGAGAAAAGAAAAAGTCCTATAATTAGAGCGATTGCTAACCCCAGGAGAGCTTTCTTCTCTTGATTTGGGGCAATGGCACAAAATAAAGCAGCAAAACCAGTGGTGAGAAGCCGAGCTACCAAACATAAAACAGATCGCTGTTTCCCTCTTAACGTTCCTCACTGAACCTCTCCCAGGACCTGGTTCTGACACCATCAGCTCCACCGAAGGCCCCAGGACGCACCTCAGTGAACGTACTGTACGTGTGTGTTTTGCCCCTGGTTTTCCCCTCAAACTCGAGGCGGTTACTCTCTGGCCTCCATGTAGTCTGGAATCTTATCCACAGAGATCAGCGTGTGTCCAGACTCGAACGTCCCTTTGCCTATTTCCAGAAGCCGGTTCCTACCCACGCACAGAGTCTCAGCACCCCTGACACCACGAGGGTAACCCTCCATAACACTCCACAGAGAAGGCTCTTCGTTTCTCATCTGCGCTTCAAGTGATAGTTTATTAGGAAAACACGAATTTAAATAATACAGCTGGCCCTGAATGGGACCAGCAGTTACTACATAGATTATGGAGATTTTTGTTTGTTTGTTGCTTGCTTTTTAATATATTTTTATTGGTTTGAGAGAGAGGGGAAGGGAGAGGGAGAGAGAGAAACATCGATGTGAGAGACATTCATTGGCTGCTCTTGCACACATCGGACTGGGGGTCGAACCCACAACCTGGGTATGTGCCCTCACCGGGAATCAAACCTGCAACCTTTTTGTGCACAGGATGACGCTCAAACAACTGAGCCACATAGGTCAGGGATTATGGAGTTGTTTTTTTTTTTTTAATCCTCACCCAAGGCTATTTTTTCAAATATCTTCAGATGGGGGGGGGGGGGGTGAGAGAGAGAATCACTGATGTGAGAGAGACACATTAATTGGCTGCCTCCCGCATGACCCCAACCAGGGCCAGAGACAAAGTGCAACTGAGGTATGTGCCCTTGACCAGAATCGAACCCGCAACTCTTTGGTCCTCGGGCCAACATTCTAACCACTGAGCCAAACCAGCCAGGGCAGGATTATGAAGTTTAGTTGGACAACAGTTCAGTGCTATGAAAGAAACATACATAGCCCGGCCGGTGTGGCTCAGTGGTTGAGCGTCAACCCATGTACCAAGAGGTCACCAGTTCAATTCCCAGTCAGGGCACATGTGCTGGTTGTGGGCCAGATCTTCCGTGGGGGCATGCGGGAGGTGGCCAATCAATGTTTTCTCTCATCAATGTTTCTATCTCTCTCCCTCTCCCTTCTTCTCCCTCTAAACTCAATAAAGAAAAAAAAATTTTTTTTTAAAGAAAGAAAAAGAGCCCTGGCTGATTTGGGTCAGTGGTCAGAGTGTTGGTCCTTGGACCAATGAGTTGTGGGTTCGATTCTGGTCAAGGGCACATACCTCGGTTGCAGGTTCAATCCCTGGCCCTGGTCGGGGTTGTGCAGGAGACAACCAGTCGCTGTGTCTCTCTCACATTGATGTTTTTCTCTCTCTGTCTCTCCTTCCCTCCCACTCTCTCTGAAGATGATGGGAAAATATCCTCGGGTGAGAATTTTTTTAAGAAGTGAGATTGAACACTTTCAGCCTGTAAAGAAGCCACAGAAAGAAGACGAAGAAGAAAATTCTAACAGAAAAACTGAACCAAATAGTCAATGTTTGGAGCTATGCATGGAGCTTTGGTCTAGAAACACTTTTTAGACAAAACAACGTGGATAAAATCACTCACCACAAAGTGAGGCAAGTCTTTAATCAAACAGCAGCAAGAAGAGCTTCTTCGAGAGCCACGGGAGCCCAGGGCAAAGCGACCACTGAGGTGCTCCGACAGTTCCCATCAAACCTACACCACCATGGGCAGCCACCGGCCATGACGCAGCCCAGCAAGTCACATTCAGCAAAGCTCCGTGATCAATTATTTATGTCCAGCCCTATTTTCCAAGTGCATAATTGATAGGGGGGAGGGCCCTAAGTAGAAGCAGCCGGCTCAAATCACTTAAGCCATTTACAGTTGACCCTCAGTAAAATATCTTCTCTATACCATAGAAATTACATATTCATTATACATGAGGTGAGATTAGAAAAGTTAGAGTTTACACTGATGGATGAGTTGCCCGAATCATGAATAAAAGAGAGAGAGAAGCAGGTCTGGTACCTGGTGTTGAACAGGTTGAGTTCAGTGTGGGGCACACTCAGTTGCTGGTACCTGTGAGCAGCCCACGAGGGATACGGGCACAGGGGACAATGACAAGCACGGATAATCAGATTCCAGGATCCTACCAGGAGAAGAGCACTAATGGCCGGGGCTGGGGCAAAGGGTTAAAGAAGGTGCCAGGGTTCTATTGGAAATGCGCCCCCCCCCCACACTCTTTGACATAATATTGAAAGAAATGATCAAGAATGTAGTGTAGCCCTGGTCAGTTTGGCTCAGCAGTTGAGCGTTGGCCTGCGGGCCAGAGAGTCCCGGGTTCAGTTCCTGCTAGGGGCACGTACCACACACACAAAAAAAGAATGTAGTGTAGAGCCAATTGTACTTTTGCCTTCCATCAAAAATCAAGAGCCCAAATATACAAAGACCAAAAATTAGGGTCAGTGATTCACAGATGAAAAGAGGAGTTTTCATTTCAGTAGAAGAGCCAACACAAAGTTCATTTATAAAGCTGATCTCCCCCGGGGCACTTAAAAGAAGACCTCTCCAGTTAAAAGGAAAAAGAAACTTAACCAAAGGTTGGCTTTTTCCTTTCTTTGGGACGGACCCCTTTAAGAACTTGACCCAAGGAGACCAGTGAGAAAAGCCAACCCTCCGTTTGCAGCCTGGAGGGAGCCTTCTGCCGCCTGCCCGGCCGTCCAGGGGCCCCCAGTGGGGCTCTGCAGCCACGTCAGTGCCCACGAACACCCAACGGAAACACAGCCTTTCGGACCACTTGTGCACATTCTTACTTCTGAGCATGAACCGTGCTCTACAATCGTAAATAGCAGGGGAAAAGAACTACACCAGAATACTTCTTTGCCTATTTGCTAACAATAAAAACCATATATGACTCATAAATACAGAACAACTTTTCTATTATTATTTAACTATTCTTCTTCTTTTTTTTAATCCTCACCCGAGGATATTTTTCCATTTATCTTCAGATAGAGTGGGAGGGGGAGAGAGAGAGAAACATCAATGTGTGAGGGACACATCGATTGGTTGCCTCCCACACGACCCTGACCAGGGCCGGAGGAACCGCAAACGAGGTACGTGCCCTTGACCAGAATCGACCTGGTCCACGGGCCAACGTTCCAAGCACTGAGCCAAGCCAGCCAGATGGCTATAATTCTTAACCAAAACCCGTGTTCAGAGTTCTTTGTGGGCTTTACGAAGACATCTCATGGTGATCATTCTGCAAGATGTATGTGTACCAAGTCATCACGTTGGACACCTTAAACTTACATCATGTTCTATGTCAGTTACGTCTTAATAAAGCTGAGGAGGAAAGGAAGATACAGAATATACAGATCTCCAAAATTATATTTCAAACATAAGGCATGAGTGGGAGGGAGAAGGGGGAATTAATGTTTTAATGGGTATAGATTTTCAGTTTTGCAAGAAAAAAATGTTCTAGCAATCTTTTTATTTCTTTTTCCCCCCCCCCCATTTATCTTCAGGTAGAGTGGGAGGGAGAGAGAGAAACACTGATGTGAGAGAGACACTCCCGCACAACCCCGACCAGGGCTGAGGACCGAACCGCAACTGAGGTACATGCCCTTGACTGAAATTGAACCTGAGACCCTTCGGTCTAAGGGCCAACACTCCAAATGCTGAGCCAAACTGGCCAGGGCAATTCTAGCAATCTTAACACGATGAACTTACACTTAAAAATGGCTAAGATGGCCCTGGCCGGTTTGGCTCAGCAGTTAGAATGTTGGCCTGTGGTCCAGAGAGACCTGGGTTCGGTGCCCACTAAGGGCGTGTATCTCGGTTGCGGTTTGTCCCCAACCCCGGTTGGGGTTGTGTGGGTGGTAGCCACTCGATGTGTCCCTTTCATGTTGATGTTTCTCTCTCTCTCTTCCTCCCTCTCTCCCGACTCGCTCTATCTGATGATGAATGCAAAAAGTGTCCTCGGGTAAGAATAAAAAAAAAAAGGCTAAGATGGTACACGTAATGTTATGTACTTTTTACCACATAAAAATCTATTAAAAAAAACAAAACCCTATAAGGAAAGACCAAGAATGACCAGCACTAACACAAATACGGTATTCAGGGATCAGTGAAAAAGGTGAAAGCGATTAAGAAGTATAAACTGCCAGTTATAAAAATAATCACAGGGATGTAAAGTACAGCTTCCAGCTTAGTAATACAGTCAATAATATTGTCATGTATGGAGCCAGATGGCTACTAGACTTACTGGGCTGACCACTTCATAAGGTATATAAATGTCTAATCACTATGTTGTACATCTCAAATTAATATAATATTGTATGTCAATGATAATTTAAAAATAAAGTCATCCAGGCAAAAAAATCAAATTAATTATAAGGGAAGAAAATTGCACCAGTACTTTTCCTCCAGACCAGTGCTATCCAATAAAAACCTAAAGCAGCCTGGCCAAGAGGTCACCAGTTGGATTCCCAGTCAGGGCACATGCCCAGGTTGTGGGCCAGAT